GTGTGGAAGGTGAGGGTGTTTGCAATATGCAGCAGTACATTGGTAGAGCTTTGTTGCCAGAGCTATGATTCTCCAACCTGTGAGATGACAGCTGCCATATTTTTATCTGGAATTGCCAAGGCAGAGCTCTGCAGGCATGTGCAATCTACTACTTCTGCAGTAAGTTGTTGAATATAAATAGTTTGTGTGTACCTGGTAAGTCCAGTACTTGCAGGAAGCATATGACTGATCCTACACAAAATATATGGGTTGTAGGTGGATGTGCAGCATATCCTTTGAGTGCCTTCCAAAAGCGTCAGACCAAGATGGAGATACTTATTGATTGTACACTGCATGTGTAATAGCCTGTGCTTGCAGAAATGCTTCAGACTTGCTGTGTGTACTTGTTCCAGTTGATTGATGTGCATATAGTGCACATGTCTGGGGTGTCCCAGTGTACAGCAGCTTGTTTCGAGTTATGCTGTAGCAGTTGTGACAGAGCTGCTGTTCCTCTGGAAATAGAGGGCAAGCAAAATCTGGGAAACATGTTTGGGGAAACTCAGACATATGGCAGCCTTATGCAGGATCCTCTTAGGTTATTTACAGCTGCAGGAAATAAAAAGGCAAAATGGAGCCTGTCAGGTTATGATACTGCCAGCGGTTTGGTGTTTGCCTGGTGTTTTCTGGTTATGGGCCAGCAAAGAGGAAAGACTGTTGGCATTGGAGAAAGGAATGCATTGGAGAATACACCCCAACATTTCATGGGGAAGGAGAAAATGAACTACAACCGGTAATTACCACAGCTGATGTATGTCTTCATTCCCCAAATGCTCCATTATATCCCAAGAAGTGGATTCTAGATTTGCAGACTTGGTAGCTGCTTTTTTGTTGTGTAATCCTTCTTCTGCTTCAGAACAGAGGCCTGGTGTTTAAAAAGGGATTAAAACCATACTGGTGCATCTAGTGTCCTTGAAGTAGGGTTTTAGCTTTTTTATTTTTTCTTAAAATAGGTCTCAGTTAAACCCCGTTCCTTTTCTTCCCGCTATCCAACAGAAAACAGATAATAGTGCAGCACAAATATCTGTCTATACAAGCGTGGCAGTAAAATCTTCTGCTTCTTGTTCAAAAAGGCATTCTCTCTGGTAACCTGAAGTGTTGGTTTCAAAGCCTCGTGTTGCCCAGACCTTTATGTAGCACCATGGCATGTTGAGTGCCAGTCCAGAGAGTGTGTACGTGGCGTAGGAGAAGACAACAAACAACTGGTTTTGGTAATGAGGGAAATAGTGCACAACAGGGTCTCTTTGAACATAGGCGCCCTGCTTTACTGTGTTTTTGTGGATACAATTTGATAACTACTTGTTGCAAGACTAACGAGAAAATGGTGAGAAGATGGCTTTATAAGAGTAGACAGTTAAGGCTGCTCAATAGCAACCATGAAGCAGGGGTAGAACGTTACACACCGGGCTTAGTTTACAGATCTGTTGTCTTGGACTGGTTGAGTGTTGTATACATTAGGTTGAATCAGTTGTTGGCTCTGGATGGTAGTTTTACAGTGATGACTCAGCATTAGTATTGTCTTTCCTTATAAAGGAGAACAGTTTGCTTTCTGCCTCTTTCTTCAGAAATTCAGCAGTTATTGTAAATGATTGGAATTAGATGTTTCCTAATGGTTGTTTTGAGTGCGCATAGGCATTGAATTAGACTTTCTGCTGCAAAGCCAAGTAATGTCCTAATTGGCACCTTAAAGGGTCACCTTTAATTCTTCCTTCTATAGCTTTTCTACTTAAATCTCTCCTTTTTTCATGTCTTTCCTTCATCTTAGTCTTTCTTTGTTCTTCTCCAGCTGCCAGCCATTCCCATCTGCCCCTTTGCTGATGCATTGTTCGTCACATGAACTGCTCTATTTGTGCTTGGGAAGAAGAGAAAAAGACAAACTCCTTCACAGTCACTCTTTTCTTGATTTCGATTTCAACGTTCTCTTTTTTTTTTTTTTTCATTTCCTATTTCCATTCGGTAGCCCTCACTTCCCCCCCCCTTTCATCTATTTCATTTGTTCCCCTGTAATCGTGCTGATTGGCCTCTGTTGTTTTCCTGTGCTGGTGAAGGAGGCAGAAAGGACACAATTAGCAGGAGGAGATGGCTTCTTGTAGGAGCCAAGAGAAGACCATCGTGCCCACTGCAATGCTGTAAGATCTGGTATGGAGACAGACTCTGTGTTTCAGCCAGCTCAGAGCAATAGTGGCATTTTGTTACTCATTAAAACAATAAGGGGACAATATTTAGTAGATAAGATTAGATCAGTGTGTTTCACTGTGATGGGTGCATCTGTTTGGCTGTGCTTTCTGTCTATTCTGGCTCATAAGCTGTTGAGTGTAGTATTCTCTGTGGTTAAGACTAGAAGTTACAGTCGCATTTACTGCATGTTGCTACAAGGGTTAATAAAATCAGTCTTCTAGTTTACTTTTAAAATACGGTTTCTTCTCTATGTATTTCTGGAGGTGGCATGTCTGTCCAGGATAATGCTACTTAAAACATACATGGATATATTTTGTTTGTTTGCAATTCTAGGAATGCTTTAAGGGAAGCTGGGCCACTCACAAGTTATTACACAAGAAAGCAAGTAAGTACATTTTTAAAATAAATTTTAATACTGTGTTGAATTTGGTATCAATTTTTCCAAGATATCTGGCACTAGATTCCACATATCTGAAATTTTGTCCAGTTCTGGTAATCTAAAGATCTATGTAAAATTTCAGAGACAGTGGTACATAAGTCTCTGTTTCTGTTCCCTTTTCTATTTGTATGAAGTATTCCTTCAGCTACATTGCCAGGTATAAGAACAGAGGAAGAGGGATGCTGAAAGGCAAGGGCAAGGAGAATAATAAACCATTATTATAAGGCATTGCCAGGCTTGTTCCATCACAACATTTTGGCATCTAGTATAGTAAAAGGCAGTAAAGTGGGAAAGATTCTTGTGAAGTCTTTGTGATTAGACACTTGCTGGAATGCAAGCAAACCAGTCAGAGTGCATCTGTTCAGTACATTTGGGGTGTACTCCTTTGGGGGAAAAAAAAAAGGAAAATGCTTTTGTGCACTGATGCAGCCATTGATAGTAGGATGTATCATAACTAGGATTTTGCTGAGTTTAGCCAAAAGTAATAGGAGTATCTGTATGCTTTAGTTATAGCTGGTAGCTCTGGCACAAAAATACTAGTAGACTGGTATATTCTCCCTTACCTGAGTAGTAAAAATAATTAATGAGTTTAAACCAAACAAACAAAAAGAGAGAGCAGACCCCAGTTCTGACTCCTTTGTCTTCCCCGCCCCCCTCCTGCCCATCTTCATCAAGCCCTGCTTAAAACAGAGGTGGGGTTAAAAGGTAAGTGGCATGGCAGAAATTCAAATCCTCAAGTAATTTACCTCCTCCTTTCCTAAAACCCGATAAAATTTTTCCGTGATAGGTGTTGCATCGTTAATAGGTTGGAGTAGCACAGACAATTACAAATGTTCCCCTTCTTTCTGCCTTCCCAGTATAGGGGTCTCATAGTTCACCTTGCATTCTGTATCCTATGACTTTGTACTAGGATATCCATAGCATGGATATGAAACTGTCTTTGTTAGTACTTCTAGTAATCCTCTGGTGCAGTCTTCTAATGCTGCTGTTTATCTGACAGCAAATTTTTTTATGATTCCACTAAGTCCATGATCTTGTTGGCTTCCTGGATAACTGCTGAGCCAAAGCTGAGCTGGCGTGGTTCTGATAGCCCTCAAGACCTCAATGCAACAAACTAAAGCATCTCAAGGGAATCCAAAATACCGGTTTGTTAAAACTTTGGATTTCTAAATTATTATTTCAAAGTGGTTCATCTAAACTGAATGTCATATGAGCAAATGGCTCAGCTGTCAGCCAGAGAGACTCTGAAGAACTCCTATTAGGACTTGCTATGGCAGACCTTCTGTCATCTCTTCATTCTTGTGAGATATAAAAAGAGAAAACAGACTTAAGTTATCAGGTTATGAGTTAGACTGATGCTACTGTGCTCTTTCTTAACCCTTGCCTCGTCTTTCCGAGTAAATATTTTTCCTTTTGGTAATGCTCGTGATCTATTTGCTTCAATCCTTTATGTAAGCACCTTCAATCTGCCCTGTTAGGACTGTGTTATTTGTAAATGATGTTAGTCACTGGACCACATCAGACATGAATGTCCAAGGTTGAGAGAGCTGGGAACCTTCAGCAGATTGGGACCATCTTGTAAGGTGCATGCATTGCCTATCCTGAAATGCAGAAATGGCAGCACCCGCACTCTCTCCATCAGATCTGGAGGGGTAGCAGGCTTCATATATTGAAACTAACAGTTGGATACCCTCCTTCCCACCCCAGGTCATCTCTGTCACTGAATGCTAAGAGAAATCACAAAAAAGGAACATTCATCTACAGTGCAAGAGTGTTAATTGAAGGGATAATGAGTGTTTCTGCAGAAACATGCTTTTTCCTGAAAATGAAAACATGCACAGAACTATGTTTTAGAACTACAAATGAAGATCAACTTAAATAATTACTACGCTTTGTTTGTGCATTCAGTACTGCTGTCCTGACATTCCCCAGTTTGCTGTTGAATGAAGATAGTTGGCAGGATGTGAATTTTGAATGGGAAAAACTTATGGGCAATACAAAATCATAACTGCTACTTACAGTTTCATTTATCAGTATCTAAAATGCCAGAAAGAGTCAAATCTAAACCTATGTACTTCTAAGTAACTTTCTGGATGCCACAGTTCTTATTCTTAGTAGGACTGATTTTGCTGCTGCAATTTTTTTTCTTTTTTTTTTTCTTTTTTTTGTTTTTGTCTTTTCAGAAGATGAAAAAGCTAAGCGTGAAGTTTCCTCTTGGACCCTGGAAGGTGATGTTAACACAAATCCCTGGTCTGGTTATCGATACACTGGTAAACTCAGGCCACACTATCCACTGGTAAGCGATAGGTACCACTCTGTACTCCAGCACATTTACATTCTGTAGCAACTAATGGACCAATCCTGACCTGATTACTTCCCACATTTTGGCTGAGAGAGGAAAGCGTCTTAATCTGAACCTGATGGCAAGGACATGTATGACTGTGTCCTTATTGTGGTTCATATTGATTTAACTTAATCCATCTCTTAGGATATTTAAATTGAAGGAAGTGACTGTGAGTTAACATGCACCCGTAACAGGCTTAAGCTCATACCTTTTGGCTGTATATTTTGACATTCATTCTGCAAAAAGTTGCTGCTAGTTCAGATGATGTCTTCTCCTAGGTATTTACTGTTCTCACTGATAATGGAGCAGATTGTTTCAGAAGAACTCAGGTGAATTGCTTTAGAATTTAAGTAAATGGGTTTATATTATTTTATGGTGAGTACGCTGGTGAGCAGCTCTGCTGAAGGAACAAAGGTTGTAGTAATCTCCAGCAGTGGAATGGTGAACAATAACTGAGGTCGGTAACATCTTTAGCTGTGAAAGGTAGGTTTAGAAGACAGCCTCAGTATAGCTGTATTTTTAAATTGGTACAAGTTTGTACATGGAATAAGCTAAAATTTTTACAGGAATAATGGCATTTTATTTACATGTGTGTTTTCTAATTGGCCTGTGCTAGAAATGCTACCCCTGTGGCATCCTTCTATAGTCTTCTCCATCTAGTACAGGCTCATGAGAAAACAGATTACCAGACCCTGAGCCCACGTGTGTTTGGTAGTGTCATTGGAGAGAGGGTATTTTGGATATGTCACTGGACAAGTAGTTTAGTAGTGTTAACACTGAACACTTGCTTTTTTGTCATCTGACTGCTGTAGGATTGATGCAAATGAAACTATAATAAAAAGTGATAATGACTAGGGATGATGATTATAAATAACAATCTTGCTAATAGACACTAATAACCAGAGAGAGGAAGGGATGTATTTAGATCCAGTGCATTTGCAGTCTGGAAAGTAGCAGAATAAGCACTACAATGTAACAGGGATAATATGTTATAAAACCAATTTAATTTACTTGACACATTAAAGTTTGATTATTTTTTTTTATAAAGCTGTGAAGTTGGCTATTGTTATTAGAGGTTGCATAATATGAAACCAATAAAGAGTAACAGGAGAATCTTTGAGAAATGAAAACTGGAACTGTTTTGGATTGTTTGCATACTTCACAGATTTTTCTAAGTGGATTTAGCCATATTTCACTATAATTAATTTGCTGCACGAGTCTCTGTTTTTGTGACTATAATAAGTATTCTTGCAACCTAACCAGCTTTGTCTATGATTTATTTAGACGCCAACAAGACCTGTGCCAAGTTATATTCAGAGACCGGATTATGCTGATCACCCACTAGGTAACTTGAAACAAATCACAGTTACGGAGTGTTATGTTTGCTTTCTATTTCCCTTTTAATTGAAAAAGCCTTTAAAGCATGAAGGAGATGCTGGAGAAGGGAACCTCTTCTTTTATCTGTTCTTCTCAGTGTACGTCTTCTTCCCCCATGTTAACTTAGTGATTTTTCAGAAATAATGGTTACAAGTGTTTTTTGGAAGTCCAAACTTTGTAATATGTTATCTTTCAAAGGTGTTCAGGGAAGAAAAGAAAAAAAAAATGCAGGTCTTAGTCCTGTGGTTAACTTCATAACAGCAATAAATTGGCTGTCACAGGTGTATTCCGCTAAGCCATTCTCAATCACTTCAGTGTAGCTGTTGGAAATGTGTTACAAAATAACAAAATGAAACAAAAGTGCAGTCAGCAACCCCCAAAGGAAAACTGGTATAAGAGTTCCATCTATTTTTGGACACAGAGGGAATACATTCAAAATTACTTCCTTATTGGTTTGTTTTGGTATTTTCCCCTTTTTATATCATTGTTGGTGCTTTGCATTTCCCAAAAAAGCTGCCATAAGGTCTGTTATAATTATTTTTAAATCTTCAGCTGTTCTTTAGTTATTCTTTACAGAATGTAAATATTTAAACAATACAAAATACTGTCTGTTAAGGTGTCGTTCAACTATAAAACTGAGCTTGCACAGAATTTGGTAGGAAGAATTTACATGTTTTCATCAGCCTATTATTGCAATAGTATAACTAGAGATATTCACAAACTTATATGATCCTTTATGGCTCTTTTAGAATATTATTTATTGCTATATATAATCTCCAAAGCAGCTTAAAAAAAAAAAAGAAAAAAAGATTTTTCTATGAATAAAATAATTTCCTTGTAAACCTGATTTTTAAGGTTGTTTTGACTAACTAGACATCATGGTTTTATGCGGTAAGTAAACAGGCATCCTGAGCACATTGTGGGCATTATGACACTGTGGAAGGCTTATGAATTCAAATCAATGTAGATAACAATGATAATGCTAGGACTTGATGGGTTTGTTACTTTAGTCTGTGGTGAGAAAGTACATACTTTTATTGCCATTGGTAAGCTAAGTAAGTTCCTTGATTGGACATGTGTAGCAATCACTCCTCTATATAACATGGGTATTTTTTATTTCTTTAATATTTTCTCTTCCCCCTTTTTTCTTTTCAGGAATGTCTGAATCAGAACAGGCTTTAAAAGGAACATCTCAAATAAAAATACTCTCATCTGAGGATATAGAAGGGATGCGAGTAGTGTGTAAGGTAAGGGGACTTTGGTTTTCATTATGAAGTGCCTTTTATTCTTTAAAAATCTATAGTGATTTTACCAGTTTGTGACAGCACATTCGAGAGTACAAACTTTCAAACCACTTTTAAACACTGAAAAATAGTTTGGGAAATTTGGTATTTTCTTGTTCTTTCTCCTTCCCCTCTCTCCCAATTCACAGTAGACTATTTTGCAAGCAGAAAGATGACTTTTATCTGTTTTCGGGCTTTGTTGATACTAATGAGATAATCTGTGGCTGAAACGTTGTTACTGTTAAGAATATATTTTACAGTGCACAAATGAGAACAGAACTTTTTCCTCTCCTAGAGTTAGTACTAAGTAAAAACTAGAAAGCAAAACAGAGCCTCATCCCTAACAATTTTTGAAAGCGAGCTGTTCTGTTGTAATCACTTCCTTATGCATAAAGTCAAACTTTGAAGTGTATTTAGGTAGTCTGATTTAAGTTTATGGTATTCAAGGAAATTGGGGTCCAAATCTTAATTGGGTTATTTTTAAATCTCACAGAGGTGGCTTGGTAATATAACCTGTACACATCTTGAAGTCTTTCTAGAGCCCAGGTCTACCCAGTTTTCCTAACAATCTCAGTGTAGCTGTAGAAAATGGGTTTCTAATCTAGGGAGTACTCCTGGTCTTATTTAACTCTGTACTTTTGTTTTGTTTGTAGCTTGCTAGAGAAGTATTGGACGTTGCTGCCATGATGGTGAAAGCAGGTGTAACTACTGAAGAAATTGATCACGCTGTCCATTTAGTAAGGTTATTTTATTGTTCTTCTGGTGTTTTTAAGGGCTTTTTTCTGTCTCTCTATTTTTGAATGATTATTGTGTGGTTTTCTTTGTTGCATGAATTCCTTTTCTTTATTTTGAACTGTTTCTCAATTTGAAGCTAGTGGGTAGTGCCCATATTAGAAATACATTGTAGCACAATGGTAGATTCAAAATGAATTTGGAACTCCTGAGCCTCTCTCTATATCAGCTCCTTTCATGATTTCCATTTTCAGATTCCCTCTAGGTTTCTTCACCTGTTTTCTTGGTTAACATCATAAAATTTTCTGTCTTCTAAACCCTTTTTTCTCCACAGATACCATTATATAAAGAACATCCTATGTAGGCCATGGACTTTTTGTGCTCTGTGTTGTTGGTTAAGACATACAGAGGAGAAAGTTTAATTATTTATGATTGTGAATCAGAACTGAGGAGCCTGAGAGAGAATTGAAACAAGATGTCTGATGCAGTCAGGCAAACTAAAGCCATAATCCAGCAAAGTATTTGAAATACATATTCAAGTATTTTCCTGGCTTGACTATTCATAGATACTTGAATTGTGTAATTTTTATTTTTCTTTGCTGTCTTCTCTATATGGCATGTACACTGATAATTGAGAATACTTGTGTGCGCAATGATTTTGGTATAGTTAAGTTTGTTAGAAAGCTTTCTGGTTGCTGTTCTTTTTATCTGCATTTGCAGCTGTTGAGCCAACATTGTAAAGAACTTAACTTTGGTTTGATTAGGCCGGAGGTTTCTGTTGAACTGCATTAACACTAAAGTATTTGCTTATGCATAATGTCTAATATGAACAACTAGTAGTTAAAATGGTGTTACCTGTCCTCAGCAGTTTTTGGAAACTTTTGTATGGCAGATTGTTGATACTGACCGATATCCCTAATTGGTACTTGGTAGTTTTAAAACAGTATTATTTTTAAAATAAAAAAGTTAACACAGTATTGTTTTTCCAGAATTGCTCAGTATGTCACATAGTGTGTATATGTTTGTATATGTAAGTATATATAACATGTATGTGTCAATTTTGAAAAAATCCCCAAAAGGTTATTAGAGTGAAAAGGAAACAGCATAAGTTTTTAAAGCTATAGGTGAAAGGGTGGTGCTAAATGTTACTTTGTCTAGCTTCTGTGTTTTGCAAAAATACTTAGTCTTAGACCGATACTTAAAAGCAGTCACTGAAAATGGCTGGTTTTTTAGCTGAATAAATATTGCCATGCATTGTTTTAAACCTGCATATTTCAGCATTGGTAGTTGAACATAAAAATGAGTAGAAACAAAATTAAAGTAGCTTTACTTTCTTCTTGGTAAGAAATGTAAAAGCATAACAAAATACCGTAATGCCAAAAAATGCTTGAAGAATCTTATTTTCAAGAGTCACTTCTTTTCAACCTATCGTTCTTATCGTAAAGCTGTTGTGCATGCTTTTTTTCTTTGTACAGACCTTACTAATGTAAAGTGTAAATTGTATTTTCTAAATTAGGCTTGTATTGCAAGGAATTGCTATCCTTCCCCTCTGAATTATTATAATTTCCCCAAGTCGTGTTGTACATCAGTGAATGAAGTGATTTGTCATGGAATTCCTGACAGGAGGCCATTGCAGGAGGGAGATATTGTTAATGGTAAGTGCTGTGAAAATTAACCTTCAACATTTCTACCTTCTATCCAGTTAAACCATGCAGTAAGGTGCGGTCTTACTAGCAGGCAACAGGATTGGAATAGGTTCTTGAGAGGCTTTTGTTCTCATTTACCAATTAACCTCTGCTCTTTACATATTTAAATTAATGAGTTTATTTAATAAAATAATTTCAAAAGTTTGCTCCACTTTAAGAGCTTTATAATTTTTCTGCCCTGGTCTGTGCATTAGTATAGTGCTTGACTGTTCCACTTGTGGGCTAGGTTCCAGTTGTTCCAAACTGTATAAACAGTGAATAAAATGCATATTGAATTATTCAACTGGATTAGTTCTGGATAAATTCTTAATTAGGTGGCTCTTTTGCTATAGACATGATGACTATGATGACTGTAAAGGATCCGAATGGTGAGGCATTGTATAGGTGCAAATTAAAAAACATACCCTTTTTTGTAGCATCTCACAGTCTAACAGTACCAGCTGCTTTTTGTTCATGGTACTCGAGGTACTAATGCCTTCTTGGGTGGTGAGGGATACTTTTATAAATTACTTAACCATTTTTTGTTTTCTCATTCATTTCTTCTTGGTTTGGCAGTAAAAATTAATGACATTTGTTTTGTACAAACATTTGCACCTTTATTTATTGCATTGGTTTGCTTTTCTCTTACCTGTAAATAAATACCCAGCATATCCTAAGGTTTATCCTACCTCTAGGAGCAGGTTGGAACCCTTTTAGATTTTCAGATATTTGATATATATTAACATGCAATAATAATGACTAAGTCTACATCTTGGTGCTGTGGGTACCAGCCTTTTCAGAATAAGCCTCACGATTGCTGCCCCTTTGTACGTCAGGTCTGGTCTGGCTGATAGCTCTGAGCTGTGGCCTACACGTAACCATTTGGCCAAAGCTCCTTTATCTTTTTTTACTTTCAAAGATGATGTCTTTGCAGAGGTCTGTGTTGTTGCCAGCTTTTCTGGCATTGCTGGAGTCCAAACTAAGAAGACCAGTTAAAGCTTACTAGGTTGGCTTCAACTACATGGTGCCTTACCTCTCCGCTATTTGCATGCCAAGGCTGTACCTCAGCACTAGAAAACACCTTTTATAAGAGGGTTTAGTCATACCTTTGTTCACATCCCTGCCCTGACTGCACTTGCCCAAGCTTTGAGCCTTCTGCTTTGTTTTGATGAGGAGGAACCAGTTTACTCTTTTGTAGTCGAGTAGGTCTTGTTACAAAATGGTCCACATTTTGTGGAGTGAACGTGCATTCCCTATGAGCTCAAAAGGCTTTCAAGTCTTGTAGGCTTCCTTTTGGTAAGGTAGTGGCTCAAAAGCCTCTTTAACAAGAAGGAACAAAACAGGGTACAAAGGAGGCGATAGAAAAAGTACTTTGGAGGGAGTGTGCCCAATAGAGGGGAAGGGCTCATCTTTCTCTTTAGTTAAAACTTTAGTTTAGTCAAATTCCCTGTTCTGAGCAGGGCATCGTAACATTTTGTTGTTATACTGTTCCCTGGGAGCAGATTCTTAAACAAAGCTGATCTCTCTGCAAAGTGAGGTGTGCTGGCCAAATCTGGCAGCGTCAAGAGAAAGTCTTGTAATCACATGGCCTATAGAGATAGCCTCTTTGCTGAGGAGCTCTGATAGACAGTTCACAAAAACCTTATCTGGTTCCATTACCAGAGTGCTGGTTTCTGTGCAGTCCTGTTGTTACGTTACTAGATATGTACACTGGTGAAAATGTTCCAGTAGTTCCACGCAGTCATGCTGTGAGTATGGTGTAACCCTGCACATGCACGCATTCACAACAGCCAGTATTGCTTTTGTGCAGTGTTAATTTCATTCTTAAGTCTTTGCCCGCAGTGCAGGTTTACTGTTGACACCAAGGTTTTTTCCCATATTTTCCTACCAAGGTTGTACTGGTCTCTCTAAACGGCTCATATACCATATTCCTAAAGTATTATTGCTCACTACAGTTTACTTCATGGCTCTTTACCTGTGAGAGAGGGGTTCTGCGTGTGGATTTCTTCATGAATAGCAGTTCAATATCTCTTCTAGATTTTGGTACTGTAGCAGCTATTAGACCTGTTAGACTACTGGCAGATTCTGTTAAACACAAAAGTACCCATTCCACCACGGGAAGCTAACTTGATATGCAAATCTAGAATATTTTGCATGTGTTTTCTATATATAATGACTATGTGACAGTAGGTTTTAATTTTTTACTCATCTGCTATGAGAGACAGGATACAAGAATAGATGACAGCTATGTGTAAACTGGTAGGCCTATTCCCATGTTTTGTAAAAGGAATGTTTGCAAGAAGCATCTTGTATGTATGTTCTTAATCCAAAAACGCGTGGTTTTTTTGAATGAGTTAAACTAGAAAGATTGTTTTTTTCCCCTCATTAAAACTACTTATGCTGCTATTTTTTCAAGAATAACTTATACCACTTTTAGTTTACAACAAACTTTATACACAAAGCAAACAAGTGAGAGTTTTGCTGCAACGTAATTCTAAACTCTTATTGTATGTTCTTCTAAACCACAGTTGTTTAAGCATGCCCTTCTCATTCTTGCTGTTTACCTGATACTGAATGTTTAAACTTTTTTCATTTGAAAGAAAAAGATTCAAGTCATCTAGAGTATTTTTCTTAGTCAGGAATACTATTGGACAGTTGCTGTTTATTTGAAGTTCAAGAAATGTTACCTTTTTGGCTGTATTACATACCTTTTTGAATTTAATTTTCCCCTATTAGTGCTGGAATTAATTCTAAGAAAATATTTTAACCAGGTACATCACCATGGAGCAAAGAGCTTCTCTTTCCTGTTTTTATATTTACCTAGAAAACCAATCATAAGCTTACATCAGTCTGGGGTTTTTTTCTCTTCCCGTTCTTTTTTTCCCAACTAAATAAAAAGGTTGACCAGTGAAACACTATCTTATTAATTAATTCTATCAAATCTACAGGATAAGCATGAGAGAATTGAATCTGCTGGAAGAGATTACATCTGGAATTCTTCCAAAGTAATCTTATAACTTCACAATTCCAATACTACATTTTCACACGTGTGTTTTGTCCTTTCACAAATCAAGAAGTGAGAAATACAGTGATAATATTACAATATATCTGTTATTCTTTGCAGTGGATATTACTGTCTATCGTAATGGCTACCATGGAGATCTGAATGAGACATTCTATGTTGGAGAAGTTGATGAGGGTGCAAGGAGGCTTGTCCAAACAACTTATGAGTGCCTAATGCAAGCCATCGATGCAGGTAAACCCTTTGGCTAGGGCCTGAAGCGTTATGGTTTTGGTTCTTAAACATGAGTGCTCGTATTTGCTATTACCTGGGAGTGACTTCTGTTGTAGAACACAGAAGCGTTGGTGTGTGTCACCAGCAGATGATGTATGTTGTGTAATACAATGATTCTTCAAATAGCACAGTTCTGTGGGTGGTGGTTGCAACTTTTCTTTAAAATGTGGGTTGACAAGGAAAATGTAATTGATGCTGCACTGATCCACGAATGATGATATTTACACGGAAACAGCCTTTTCAGACTATTAGTTAGAAGAATAAGACATCCTTGATCTGAGTAGTTTAGAGAACGTGAAGACCAAAGTGTGTTTCAGAAAACCAAAGTATGGCTTCCTACTTTTATAATTTATATGGTGTTGCACAATGAACTAGTAAGGTAGAACACTGTTTGAATACTTAAACATATCTCTTTACCCCTGCCAAACCTGATAGTTATTTCATAAAGCTAATGATGACCTCTTGATTTTCAACTGTGGACAGATCCATATCTTTCAGTACCCACAGAACTTTCATTATGTTGCTTAGATATAACTCAGGACAGCTTCATTGAGACATACAATGAGATAGAAAGGTAGCTAGAGAATGTCACGTTCAACTTCATTCACAAAGGAATATACCAAGTTCTCTTAGACAGAGAAAACAAAACCAGAATCTGTCAAGTCCCTGGAAATATTTGTATCATCTGTATCTTTTATACCCTGCAGCTTCTTAAAATCCCAAATAAAATTTACTCACATCATAGCCTTTAAAGACTGAAGTTTAAGGTGCTATATATGAAGACTTTAAACTTGCATTTAATCAAAAGTAAGTGAAAAATAATATAATGAACTGAGTTTGGTTAATAATTTGGAAATAGCTAGCCAAGCTGAAAAGAAAAATATCCCTATGAATGATGTCTTGAGTGCCTGTTGTGCGATCAAGAAAATTCTTCACAGTATATACTTTACCTATTTATGTGGGATTACTATTTGGAAATGACCACTTTATTTTTCAGAGCTAAATCAGAATAATGTTTATCTTTGCTGCTATATATTTTATTTTTATAGCAAGTGTTATATGTGTTGTCTCTTGTCTTTCATATCCTGGCTTTGATGTATAAACTATGACAGAAATTCACCTTTGTGCTCGTTACAATGAGATTTAAATTCTCAGTGTAACTTTTCATTACCAACTTTTTAGATGGTGTAACAGGTTTTAATGGGTTTTAGACATTCCCTGCTAGTAGGAACTCCGGCAGCAAGTGTCTCAGCTGTTAAAAAGGGTCGCTTCTCTCTTGCTTAAATAATCTTAATTTCTTGGTGTTGGACCAGCAGAGCTCTAACTAGGAGAGATGTATGAGGGAGAGAAGCAGAGGGCTCCTTACTGCATTGAGATGAGTTGCCTTGTATCGTCAGGCCCAAGGGAGGTGGTATTACTTCACAACTATTTAGCACAAAACCAAGAGATTAACTTTTCCTCTCTTCCCCACCGTGTCTCTTTTTTTTTTTTTTTTTTTTTTTCAGGAAAAGCATGCACATTCCAGTAATCTAAATTTCTTGTTATTTTCTGTAAATTCAGCTTACTGATTTAAGTTGCAGTTGTTTACGTTAGTAGAGAATTGAACTAAATGGCTTGCTTCACATGAAGTTTTAGTTCATATATCTGAATGCTGCTTAAGATGGCTCCACGTAACCACACAACATCTGGCTCCTGAAGGAACAGCATATATCCAGGGAGTTGTGAATTATCTTGAAATAGCATTCACATTCTTTTTTTTTTTTAGTGGCCTAAGGTTGCTTTTGGGATGCATCTTCATTAGCTGATGGATCAGGCATTGCTGCTTTTATGGTATATTACTCCCTTGTCCAAGTGCTCAGACTGAATTTTTCACACCATTTTTATCTGTTTCAAACTTTTCAACTTTTAAGGCTTCCTGAAAGGATTGTCAAAAAAGTTAGTCCTGAATATGAACATTCTTACTTGCTGTAGCTTTGGCACTAAAAATCTTGTTTAAGAGTAGAGATACCCGTTTTGTCTTCCCCACCCCCCACCCCCACCCCCCTTCTTGGTCCTTCACGTATAATCATTTTTTTCTCTTTATTTGTGTGCACTTTCTGCATGGTAGTAGAGAGGTAAGAATATATTAAAATATAGTTCATACATTCACTGAAAGAAGCACTGCAACTCTAGGTATGAGAAGTTACCAAATACTTTGAAAGTCTTGTAGTCTTTAATTTCAAATGTCAACATCCTTTTAATATATGAGCAATTACATCCACAAAAGGAAGTAAGTAGTGTTCTTGCGAAGAGCAAGTTTTCTTCTTTCTCTCATTTTCTCTTTTATATGAGACTCTTTCCTCCCTCTTGTGTTATGGCACTCACTTACATACTTCATGGATCAAGTGATCAGAGGAAGTTGTATACTAGAACAGGAGCCATACAAGCCATGAGTGCTACAAGATATTAGCCTGAATGCTGTTTGTCGGTTAGTTATGTTGAAAGCAAGCTGTATAAATTTCTATCTGTATCTCTTTCATTTTGCAGTAAAACCTGGTGTTCGGTACAGAGAACTGGGAAACATTATTCAGAAACATGCTCAAGCAAATGGATTTTCGGTGGTTCGGAGCTACTGTGGGCATGGAATCCATAAACTTTTCCATACGGCTCCTAATGTGCCGCATTATGCCAGTGAGTATTCATTTCCTTTTGGGTAGTCCTGTAGACAAGAAGTGGTTTGCAACGAATGCACCCAGTTTACTCCTTGCTTATATTCTAATAAAGTAGCATGTCGCCTGACAGCCATCGTTAGCATTTCTGCACTTAGGAAATAATTTTTTTCTAAACTCTGGACCATAACAAACTTTTTGAACCTAAGTAAGGTGAATGTATTATACTGAGACAATCTGTGCCTACTCTAATCATCTATACTGGCTAAGTGCTCAGTGGTTTTTGCCTGAATTCCCAATTAATCCCTCAGACATTCTTGTCTGACATGAATGGGCAAATGTTTTTATCCTATAAGGTCTAAGCAAAAACTTACTGCCATTTCCAGATGTAAATAAAAGGCTTTTTGAATAGTATAGGCGGGTGTTGTGCCTGAATCTGGATCCTATTATGTTTCACTTTTCTTCATTTGAGTATTATGATCTGGTGTTCCTGGAAATTTCTTTGTAATGTGTGGCAGAGGAGGAATGACCCTTCCCCCAGCAGGTACTCAGCTTTAGTTTTTGGAAGTGGCAATGTCCGCATGGCAATCTTTGCCAGCAGGACTAAAAACCAGCATCTGCAGAGGCAAAGGAGAGAAGCTTAAGTGCCAGTGGTCAACCAAGGGTAGAGTAAATGTCATGAAGCAGCAATTAACAGTCCATACCCACTTCAGCTGCAGAGCTCCCCTGGTGGGACATTTATTTCCTCAGACCTGACAGATGCCTCCATCTTCCCATTTCCTAATGAGCTTTAACACAGGTTATAGTTACAGATTATGATCTAGCAATCCCTGACTTTTCATGTCATCATTTCCCTAAGTTAATTTTTCCACAGGGTAGAAGGGTACCAATTCCTGGTACTTACTTTTTGTAATGTAAAATGAAGAAAATCTGGATTCCTCAGAGGTGGAGTGCATTTTATACCAATTAAAATGCAGTCTGAGAAAAAGGAAATTTCTCTTTCCTGGCTGTTGGGAACTTTGAACTTTTTTTTTTTTTTTTAATTGAACCAAATGTCTGTTCCCAAAAAGGAAGATGCGTTGTTTTTTTTTTTTCCCCTGGTATTTTTAAATACAGATTCACAGGAAAAGCAAGTGGAAAAAAACTGAGGGACTTAGAGCCTCTTGGAGGAAAAAAAATGAAAGCTGATGCTTATTTCTGGCTTACTATGAAAGGATTTTTAAAAGCAAAAAGCTGATTTTATAAGCCTTTAAATTATTTAACAAAATCATGAAAACTACAGGGAATGAAGCACAAAATTTGTTCAGATGCAGATGACCAGAAGCTTATAAATATGAGTGTTGAGAGCAAGAAATACCATCAGATGATAGAGAGAGAAGCAAGACCATTTAAGTAAAAGAAAACTGTTCTGGTTGCTGTTGTGTCAGCTTGATGTCTGCGTTTTTTTTTTTTTTTTAAGCATCTAGGTGATTTAGACAATTTAACAAATTTATACAATTAGAGTAGACTGGGGGGATGGAGAATCTGTATGTGAGAATTGATGCAAATTGTCTACAGCAGCAAAGTAGCTTGGAGCTAACGGTTCCTGTGCAATACTGGAGTTTGTTCCAGCTGTCACATGCTAGGCTGAGTCAGATCTAAGCTGCACCGCTCT